TTTGGTTTTTCGAGACAGGGTTTCTCTGTGTAGCTTTGCACCTTTCCTGGAGCTCACTTGGTAGCCCAGGCTGGCCTCGAACTCACAGAGATCCGCCTGACTCTGCCTCCCAAGTGCTGGGATTAAAGGCGTTCAGCCTGCTTTCTAATAGAACCCAGGACCACCAGCGCAGGGATGGCACCACCCACAATGGGCTGGGCCCTCCCCCATCAATCACTAATTAAGAAAATGTCCTACAGGTCTGTCTGCAGCCCGATCTTACGAAGATATTTTCTCAATTGAGGCTCCCTCCTCTCAGATGACTCCAGCTTGTGTCAAGTTGACATAAAACTAGCCAGCACACCCCTCCTTCCTACTTGGACACGGCAGTGAGAAAGCAGTAGATACATCTCCCCTCCTTTCTTCATTCTCTTCCTTTTCCGGTGTCCAGCTAATGGTCTCTGGGGGGTTCTGGGGAAGGAAATGCAAGGATTCCCTGGATCCTCCCCTCACTTACGGTGACGGGAGAAGCCAGGCTGCTGGTGTTGTATTGAGCAGCAAAGGCAATGAAGTTAGTGGCCTTGGCAGAACCAGTCTGGGCAGTGCGACCCTCCAGCAGGAAGGAGGAATTCGCGTCCCGGGCCTGGACCAGCAGAAAGTCCCCCAGCCCATTGAAGGTGTAACTGGCGTTATCCAAAGTGGTGATGTGGGGATCGCCATATGTCCAGGCTAAAAGACAGGAGGTTACACATTAGCATGTCAGGGCCACCATCTGACACTCTCACTGCCCAGCAGGTAGGGCTTCCGTCTTGGTGGACTCGAGCTTGAGCAGATTCTCCTGGCATCCAGAACCTGCTCCGCAGGCCTCTGACACTCGCCATCCCGGGCCCCAGTCCTTACCCTTTGCCAATGCCACATACACAGCCCTTCTGTTTGCTGTCAGCCTCCCACAAGACTCGCCCCCATCATCCTGGTGGCCACAATTCTGCCCTAGGAAGCGATCTCCCTTCCTGGCTGCTCCACCTCAGCCATGGCACTCACCGGGCCGTGGGGGTCTATACCAAGCACAGCCAAAGCGGGGCCGCACACGACGGTACTCGGCACAGAGGGAGGGCTTGTCGTTCCAGCGACAGCACCAGTTCTGGGCCTCCCGCTCCTGTTCTGTGGAGAAGAAGAGTTTGTCAGAGGGCAGGAGCCCCAGAGAACCAGCTGGCAGGTTTGGTAGAGCTGGGTGGTAGCTGTGGCGAGAGTATGACCTCGGAGCCAGGCATGGCACAGGTCACATGCTCAATGACTGTCAGCCATCCGCGATGGAATGACACTGTTGGGGCATGTTGGGGTTACTACATAGCAGAGTACGTGGTACAAGCCCTCAGAGAGCTGGGGGAAGAGAGGACCCGGATGATGATGTAAAGAGACTGGAGCAGGCCCAAGGGTGGGCAGATGTAAGCTACGCTGCCCCATTCACCTCCGTGCGCTCTGGCTCCCTTGGAGGGTCTCTGTGGCGAGATGACTCTAAGTTTTCATCCTGTGAACATGAGTTGAGATCCCCAAGGAGACACATACCGAACTGCCAAGGGCTGTGCATTCTCCAGCCTTCTCGGAACTCCCCCCAGTGGCCATAACTGCAGCACACGCCCCCTCGCCAGGATGAGAAGCTGCACAGCTGTCTGCTGCTGCCATCCCACCAACCTACAACGAGACCAGACAGACATCGTCAGGCCCGGGAGCTTGTGGTAGGGGGAGACGTCAGGGGGATGTCTGCATGGAGGGGGGGGTGGCCAGGGTGCCTGGGAAAGGGCAGGACGGGTGTGACCAGAGGTGATGGTCGGTGGGCCTTGAGAAGGGCAGGAACGGGGTGTCACCTGTGTTCACGCGCCAGAACCGCAAGTCTCGTCGTCCCTGCTGCCAGGAGCAGGGGCAGGAAATCTGGCTCCAGCCCCAGCCCCAGCTGGGACTCTGAGGCTGGCTCTTCAGCCACTGTAGACACCTGAGCCGGTAGTTGGGCCTCACTTCCTTGTGTAGACGGTAGACCTGCAACCCCCGGATGCCTGAGAAACAAGGAAAGCAGTGATGATCGCAGGCGAGAGCCGCTTCGGCTTTAGGTTCAACGCAAACTCATGACTGCGTCCTCCATCCTGTACCCTGCCGCTCTGGACAGCTTTTCCTTGGGAGGGACCCAACTCATACTGGCAATGATTTATCTCCAAACCACCTTGAACATAAGCTCCAAACACGTCAAATCTTGGACCTTAGGGCAAAACTGTGGGACAAGCGCTGGGCAGGGAGGAGTCACTGTGATCCAACTGGCCCTCCCTACCCTTCCTCCTTCCTTGCCCCTGTTCACCCTCCCCCTCCCTCTTCCCCTCCCCCTCCCGTTCTCTCTGTCTCTCTGCCGTACCTTCCGATTCCTAACCCGCTTCACTTCCTCCTCTAGAGATACACCATCCACCCCATCACGCCATCGGACCCTCGGTCTTCATGACGTACCCTTCCTTCCCCTTTCAGTGGCCACAGCAACCAGGACAGAGGTAGGCCCCTGCCCAGAGACTAGCTGGAAGCCACAGAGAAGTTGGCACGCTAGTGCGGCCTTGCTCTAATACTGTGAGTCTGCAGAAGCCTCTCTGGAGCCCAGACACCATCTTAGGAAGGGAGAAGTCACTAGAAAAATCCTCTACTGGGGCTGGGAAGTTTAAACCTCAATTCATTGGAAGTTTCATAACACACACACACACACACACACACACACACACACACACACAACTTCAGGGAGAGAAGAAGACTCCAGAGGCCCCACCTCAAGATAATACGATCTAGTGTATGAGATTTTCAACTCTATATCCACCTGAATTAAGCAACTGAGGGTTTTTGGAGAATAACACACACACACACACACACACACACACACACACACACACACACCACGAAACACTCTAAATCGCGAGCAGATGTGTTGACAGAGAGCCCTGATGTGACAGGAAAGCTCTTCCACGGGGTGGCATCCACCTGCCATTTGACTTCGCTCACATTTCTGATTGACAGACATCTTTGTCCCAGATCAAACAGACCTGGACTCCCGCTTCACGATCTACATGACGATCTCTCCCCAATGCCAGCATGCCCTCTTCCACATCACATTTTGGGGGCCGGCATTTCTTTCTCTTTGGAGCCTCTACATGTTCCACTAAGTCCCGTAGGAAGAGCCATAGTTTGCCTCTGGACACCGGGGTCTCCACCACAGTGAACGGTTGGTGAGAGCCAACATGGTTGACCTGTCTCCCCTTTTCCTGTCTGTCTGTTAACTTACTGTCCAGCATATAGTAGGTGCTCAATAAACGTCGACTGAGTGAATGTCGGCCTTTTGGAACTCCTCCTTTAGATCTCCTTAGGGATTGCATTCCAGCTCTGGAATGGGACATTTGGATGGTTGTCCTAACTCCCTTCCTACAAAACCCTTCTCTCGCTCCAGAATCGAGTGCCCACTGACAGACAGCCTGGGTTTGGCTCTTCCAAGGACGGAGACTTCCAGGGGCTGAGGGCGTGAAAAGACATCGTCACGTAGGTGGTGCTGGCTGCTGCTGCCCCTGTAGGCAGTCGGCCGGCCATGCAGGATGCTCTTCGGGGCGGTGGAGAGGCTACGACTGTCTAAGACTGCCATGGCATATGGGGTAGAGGGCAAGGGGAGACCGAGGCCAGCTCATACATGGCGGGTGGCACTTTTACCTAATTTGGAATCCAGGAATCGATCTGGACGGTACTTCTCCATTGCTGGCCGGAGTATCAGCGGGCTGTTTTCAAAATACCCATCTCCACTGCGGGCAAAGGAAAGACTCTCAGGCCTCTAGAGTGTCACACGCAGGCTCTTTGCTCTCAGGTGAAAGCTACTCACTCATTTCGCCTGCCAATCACTCCAGCGAGCCCCCAGTCAGCAGCTGGTAGCCCATGACTCAAGTCAGGTGGGCAGCCAGATTGAGCCACAAGTCCCAGTACTGAGGAGGAAGAGGAGAAGGGTGGGGTGGGGACCTTCTACTTTATCCCACGTCTGGTCAATGATGGTGAGAAATCAGTGGGCTCGCTCAGCACACACCGGGTGTGAAAGCAGCAGAACTGAGCCAGATTTCCCTTCATTTCCCCTGACGCTCTCTAAGGACGTACTGCAAGGGATGATTCAAGGCCGGTTTCTGGAAATCAGGCAGTCACTTTCAGCCATTGATTCCGGCACTTTCTAGCTTGGAGGTTGTGGTTATTTAACATGTCTGACTTTGGGGTCTTATACCTGGGTGAAAGAGAGGTCCCTTGTACCCATCTCTCAGCACGGTAAAGCTTCGACGCAGTGACATCTGTAAATCCCTCAGATGGGGGTGGAGAGCAGACTCGAGGCCCTGCCGCCTCCCCCACCACTGAGGATCCAGGATGGAAGGAAGTGCTGTGGTGCCACGGCAGGAGCATGCCCACAGAGAGTGACGCCTGATCTTTGCTCTACTGTCACACGGGCCAGAGGACAAATACACGCATGCCGTCTCCGCTGGGCACACTGAAGATGGTGTGACGCTGCTAGCTACCTGGGTAATTACACGCTTTCCTCCTTCACTGCACATCAACAGGCAGCCAAAGCCACGGGGTTGTAGGGCGGCCTGAGCACACCCTGATGGGACAGAAAACCATCTGGGGCCACTCCTGCTAACCCGTGACGCGTGGCCGTCACAACCGACTGCCACACAAGCGGGTGGTTGGAAACTGTTGCCTCAGAGACTGTGGCTCCTGGGCATGCAGGAGCTCACACTGCAGCCAGCCAGTCGCTCTCCTCACTTCCTTCTCCAGCTGAGCTGTAGAGCTCCAGGAACCACGGATTCAAATCTGGGGTGTCTGTGTTCAGACGCCCGCTCTGCCACTTTGAAACTCTGACTTGGGGCAAACTACTCATCTGCTTGAACCTAAGTCTTCTTACCTATAGGATAATGGTCTTATTTATAGGACAGCGGTCGGCTATCATGGGTGGGTGGCTGTGATCACAAATTAAATAGGTATAATGTATATGAAGTAATAGGTGTAATGAGTCGCCGCTAGCTGAGAAGTCAGCTAATGTCAGTGGAAACCAGGAAGGTCAAAGGTTGAAAGGCTCAGTGCACAGGCATTGGGATTGACACGAAGGCAGGATGAAAGGGGTGGGGTGGGGCTGGGGGTTCACCAGGAGCAGCCGCAGCTTCAAGGGTGGGATGGGAATGTGAGCAGGGAACCCTTATCTCTCACAGTTCAGTGCTGACAGCCAGCCGATCCCATCCTACCTGGAGAAGCCCATGAGGACTTGTTTGCGCAGACCCTGGGCCACATCCCACCGCATCCCTCCACTCTGGTAGAGAAACAGGGCGTAGGAACTGCTCCCGTCTGTGGAGAGGATGGCTTGGTAGGTATTGGTCTGGAAGTTGGCGAGAGACAAACAGAGAAGTCTATGAGAGGTCTGAGGTTTCCTCCCTGGTGTCCCCACACCCCTGACCAGACACAGGCTTATCACTGTCCCTGGTCCACCCAGGCTGGACACACTGGCAAGTCAGCTTGGTTGTAGAAGCACTTAGAGTGGCCAATTTTCCTTCCTTGTAACTTTCTTTCTTTCTTCCTTCCTTCCTTTCTTCCTTCCTTCCTTCCTTCCTCCCTCCCTCCCTCCCTCCCTTCCTTCCTTTCTTTCTTTCTTTCTTTCTTTCTTTCTTTCTTTCTTTC